ACATCGATCCTTGGGAGAACAGAGTGATGGTCTCACGACATCTTCAAAGACTTACTGTACACCGGTGTCAACCGATTGTAATTTGATTGCAATTTGTTCGCTTCACTTTTTGTCACAAGGTGCAGGCGCTTCACTTTTGTTCGTGTCATTCAGCTGGGAGTCAGCTGTCTCACCTCCTCGCCGTTGATGACATACATATTTTTGCAGCCTAGGCTCTGCAAAAGCTTCTCAAGGCCAACGCACATCAACTGTGGGCTTACAGCAGTTGGGTTCTTGATTGTCAGAATTTTGCTGATACTGAACAGTTTGCATTCCTGCATCTGACTCAGGGTTTTTGGTGGATGTCAGGATGACGATTCCCTGCTCTGAGATTAGTGTTGATGGTGAGTTACAACATGTTAAAATGCACCACCAGTGCAAAGCAAATTTGAGTCTTCCATGACATGATACCTTAACTGACTATATGTAGAGTTCCCATGCATTCTCATACTCATGCATGCTCAGTCGAATGGCCAGAGTAGCCAGAATAATCCAGAACACCCAAAAACAACACATCAAAAGAAACAAGGGTGTAATAAGTATTCGGCCTCGGGGCTAAAAACAAACTCGTACATATGATCTTCATATCGAAGACCACATTCTCTGTCCAGGTGAAGCTTACCTCAGGCTGGGTGGCTACTAAGCCGCTAAGCCACTAAGCTGCGCAAAAAAAAAAAAACTTGCACAGGGCCACTTCACCTTCATTGTTTCATCTTCAATCACCTTGTTGCATCGTGCTGCCTTCTTCTCGGTGGTCGCCGTATCATTAAAAAAGGTTTAAAACAATGCATTCAAGTGCTGATCCTGTTGCTCGCTTCTAAAGATGGCAAACCAGACCTGGGCCATCAATGTGGTGGTTTCTGCACTTTTGACTCGCACTAATGGGGTTCCTCCACGCATTTTTGTTTACATGGGGCAGCGGTGATGTCTTATTGAAAGGGCTGCATCCTGTCACCAAGTTGTCTGAGGACGGCACATTACGAAGCCAGTAGTGCCTCAGTTGCTGAGAAAGATTCATCTCGACTAGCCTACTACAACAAAAAATGATAACAATTGATTCATGCGTCATTTCTGTCTCAATCACCACAATGACGGATTCAACCGCACTGCTCAGCCCGCACTGATTCTACAAGACTGGCAATTGTAATGAATACAAACATCCGATCTTCAGCAAATCATCACAATGCGATTGTTTGTGGCTGGTTTGGAGTGGAAGTCTGTGTTTGATGCCAATGGGTTCCATTTGGCACATACTTTTGTTAAAGCCCACCAAGACTCTTGACTCTTGATATTAACCCTCCCCTGGCACTAAACATGACACACGGTGGGACGAGTTGCAGCTCCACATGCCGGCAAAGCGTTTCTTCTCCTGGTGAACATTGTTTCAACATGTTTCATGTTTCCACCAGTGCTTCTGTCTCTGTCTTGACAAGATTCCCATTTTCCATGCTATACGGCGGCTCTCTGCCGTCAGCATGCATGGGATTTCAGAAGTACTGACAACAAGCAAGTCCAAAGCAAAATGACTATATAAATGAGTTGGTCCAAGCAGCTGGAGCCCGAAGTTGCATCAGCAGGGAACCTCGGAACTGGAAAATCAGATGCACCTGGAGACCCCAAGTGACAAATAGAAATGCCAAGTGACTGTCTGGCAGGTTGAGCATCCAAACATGGACATATCTATGCCTCAGTCAACTGCCGGAAGGATTCTATCGTGTTCCCTCTGCGTTTAAGCAGAAACCTCCTCAGCTGCCTTTGCTGGTTCAGCTGGTGAAGCGAGCTACAGTAAAATATGAACTGTTGATGAACTACCACAGGCCAAACAATACAACTACAACAAGCCATTGTAAATTGGAAATATGAAACACAATGCAATTCATACATCAACAAAGATCTTACCTAGCATGTCAGCGTGTCTACCCGTCCCCTTCACCCTGTCCCGCATAGCTTAGAAATGATAAGGCGGTATATGGGTTGATCAGGGTCTAGGTTGTCAAACATCTCTTTCTGCTGCCGTGTAGCCACAGGCCTTTCTCTGCAACAGCGCCACGGGAACGCGTGAAAACGCAGGTTCCCTCAAGGTCGGTCGTGCAATTGAGGTCCGAAAGTTGATGCATTCATTCATATAGTTTGGGCTGATGGTTTTTGATTCAGCTTCCAGTACTGCCGATCCTTGGAGCTGATCCCAGAAATCCAAACCACCAACCAACCCAAACCACCGAATCAATTATCTCTCCAGTTGCCCTTATCGAAAGAGAAGTTGTCTATTTTTTCACAAACACCCACGTATACCGTCAACAGGTCGACAACGTGATACAGGGCCAAACCAGAACTGAACGGGATTGTAGCAGCACAATTGTAACTAGTAGTAGTAACAAAGGCATCGCTACTAGTTACGGGGCTTACGGCCTTAGTATGAGAATCTTGTCCGTCCGCATCAGTCCACGGCCTCGGTGTCGAGGGTGTCCAAGATCTCATGGTCCTTGTCCTCCTTCACCTGGATGGCAAATATCAAATAGCTGTCGATGCGAAACCAACTGTTCATCTCGTTCGCAGCATTCGGCTTTGTACTTCGCAAAAAATATCGAAAAAATACATGAGGCATCATGAGACTCCAAATGGAAATCAAATTGCAAAACGGAAGACCTTGAATTTTTAATTTTATATGCTTGCAAGACTGCCCAGCAACCACTTGAAGTGCAGTTCCATCATCGTCCTCCGCCATAGTCTGGGCTCCTTGGATCTACTTGTTGGGGGGGCCCATTGCAGCTCAAAAAACCTGACCTGTGCACCTGTCCACCACTGTGACCGGGAGACCGCAACAAACAATTCAAGACTGGAGAGCACAAGAGCTGGACTTCTCATCGTGCTCTGTTATGTGACTGTCACTCCATCCGTGCTTCTTCACTCGGTATGCCAAGGCTTTTCACCTACAGTATCTAAAAACGCTTGTGCTCCGACGGCATGACAAAAACTCTGTCTCTAAGCCGCCGGCATAACGAGGTCTTGCTACCAAGTTCTACCCAAGCCAAAAGGGCAAAGCACAATCAATGCGTCGTGATGGTTTTTTTTTGACAATATAAGGGTTGTCCAGCAATTACAAATTTCATCCTCAGGACTCAAAACCTTCTAAGTACTGGTCGTTGGCGCTCTCTAAATAACACAGTATTGCCTCTTGCGAGCACCATCGACGGCACAAGTCTTGTAGTAGATTCATCCACATGTCACATGGCCCTCTCCCTGTCCCATCATCAGCCTTTGTGGCCTTATGCCATATGCGTCCCTTTCAGAAGAACATTTGGCTAAGTTTCAACATGTTTCAACATTGTTAGGATTAGGAATGTACATCAATGTGGACACTGTCTTTAGAAAAGGAATTCTCCAGGAGGATCCGAACAAGCGGGGCATGCCCTGGACCAATTCAGGAGTGGTCCAGCTTAACTTGCTACGCCCAGTCCATAGAGTTTTGAGAATGCATCCAAGAATTGAAACTTGGATCACCGAGCCGTCAAATCGTACTTGAGGGTTTTGTTTTCTGACCTTGCCAATATCTTTGCCAATCCACAACGCTTGCAAGCACTCATCCTGCAATTTTGCTGCCTCCCACTCACGAACTGTGCAGCCCTTTGGAGTCTTGCGACCGCTAAGACTGCTAGCCTACATCGATCTAATGCAGTCTGGCACTGTGGAATAGGTAGTGAGGGATAGTGAGGGGACTTCCGAAGAGTCAGTGTTTCAGTTCAATCCTACAATGTCCAACTAGCAACAAGAAGCGAGTAGGTTGAAGGCCATCGCTATCGAGCTCCAACACCGAGGAGAAAACTGGCTCCAACGCCACGACCAAGGGTGGAGGCCATCGCTATTGGGTTGGAGGCCATCGCTATTAGGGTCGAGGCATGTCGAGGCCATCGCTGGTTGGAGGCCATCGCTATTACTGTAGGGTGGAGGCCATCGCTATTACTAGGGTGGAGGCCATCACTATTAGGTTGGAGGCCATGGCTATCAGGTTTGAGGCCGTCGCTATTAGGCTGGAGCCATCGCTATTAGGTAGGAGGCCATCGCAATTAGGTTGGAGGCCATCGCTATTTGGTTGGAGGCCTGCGCTATTAGGTTGGAGGCCATCGCTACTTGGGTGGTGGCCATGGCTATTAGGTTTGAGGCCATCGCTGTTAGATGCTGTTAGGCTGGAAGCCATCGCTATTAGGTTGGAGGCCATCGCTATTTGGTTGGGGGCCATCGCTATTAGGTTGGAGGCCATCGCTACTTGGGCGGAGGCCGGCCATCGCTATTAGGTTGGAGGCCATCGCTATTAGGTAGGAGGCCATCGCTATTAGGTTGGAGGCCATCCCTATTAGGTTGCAGGCCGTTGCTACTAGGGTGGAGGCCATCGCTATTAGGTTGGAGGCCATTGCTATTTGGTTGGAGACCGTTGCTATTATATAGGTTGGAGGATGTTGAAGGCCATCGCTATTGGGTTGGAGGCCATCGCTCTCAGAATGGAGGCCATCGCTATGAGGTTGGAGGCCATCGCTATTAGGTGGGAGGCCATTGCTGCTAGGGTGGAGGCCATCGCTACCAGGGTGGAGGCCATCGCTACTAGTAACAAGAAGCTACTAGTAAGGCATATGGACATGAGTAAAACGGACTTCCCCGGCCATACGACTTCTGACTGGCATTGCAGACTTGCAGGAACAACGAACAACAGCTCCAAACCGCAAAGTGTGAGACCACGGAAGCTGCCTACAATTTGCTGCTGCGCGCTTCACTTCTGGATACGGGCCCCCCGTTTTGCAGTTGTGCAGAATTAACACATCTCAGAACACCCTTTTGTAGCCGACGAAGCTCGCAAGTAAGTGACTGTCTGCTTTTGTTGGTCCTGTGCTCTCAGGATGGGTTGCTTCGCTTGATCTGACTATGACTATGTCTAACTACAATTTCATTGAGAATTATACTCAATTGATGCAGTCTACTCCAGATCGCTTCGATGCACAGCAGTTTTGGCAAGAGGCATCATGGTCTAAGAACCATGATTTGCAAATCTTGGCCAGTTTTCTAGCGGAAAAAGCTTTGCTCTCGGCTCAGCCTCGTGCTTTCGGGCAGGCCTGGCAGACTGGCCGCAAGTATGTATATATATATTTTTTTTTAAATAACATATGCAACATGAACTTTGCGTTCAAAAATGGGTTTCTACAAGATGGTCCTATAGCGGAAATGATGGGTGAAGGGCCTTTGAAACAACTGCACTGTCCAGCCTTTGAGTGTTTTTTTGATCCAACGCCATGTGAGGTTGATGCGAGGGCCTGAGGATGCTTTCTCAGGCTAGAAGTCCTGCAATTTGGAAGTGCATGCACAACAAAGAACGAGAGGATCGGCAAGCAAAAACCCTGTGCAGCACACGTGTAGAACCATACAGTCCAAGGAGAGGGCCAAGGCTCTCATCCTCTCTGGCAACCCGGTGCATGTAGTGCTTCTGCAGCATTCCCTGGCAAAAAAAAGGTTTTTTGGCCCAGTTCAATAATTGACAACACATGACCTGATGCAAAACTATATGCAGTACATGAGACGGAACACTGTGAGTGGTGCTCTGCCAAGTTCAGCTGGATGCTTGGATGAGAACTAAGGCCTCCATGGTTGCCAAGGCACCTGGGGACAGAGGCAGCTTTGATAAATCAAAGAGCTTCTGTGCACAGAAGCTTAGGACAAATACTCTCCAGCGCATTGCGCACTACAAGGCATTATCTACTGCCACGAGCGGATTGGATGATCCAGCGTCTCATGGCACAGCTCCTTACCTCCAGGAGCCTCTTTGTATGTTAGTTTTGTCCAATTAGCTGTAGTAGGAACTGTGTGGCTATTCAGCTTAGCCAGCTTGGACCAAGCACCATTGCCCAAGTGGAGGCGCTCTTGGACTTTTTCACCCTCCTTGTCGGGGGTCTGGCAGCAATGCAAGCCGGGGCAAGCAAAAGTTTGAACACAGCACAACTCAACTTGACAACATTTAAATTCTTGTTACTAGTAGCTTCTTGTTAGCAGTAATGGCCTCCAACCTAATAGCGATGGCCTCCACCTAGTAGCGTCCTTGCTCCTATGTCTCTTCAAGTCCTCCGGCCAATTCTTTTTCAAGTCAAACTTTCTCGCTTGTCCGAGAGACCTGAGAAAATGAATACAAGTTCCTGGAGTTGGGCCCGGGCCATGAAATGAGATTTCACCGGGTTCTGGCTACCAAGCATTTGAATAAGCAAGTTGACAACTGGAAATTTCATCTGGCATCTTCTCTCATCGTGTGATGGGCTAGACTGCATGATGCTTACGTGTTCACCAGGTGCATGATTCAATGATGCCGAAGCCAAGCTGCAGCGAAACAATCGCCACATCTTCGTGGAGACTCTGGAATAAGGCCTCTCAACTGACTTTGTGATTCACCCTTGGTTGTCGCATCATATCTCTCTCATTATGTCTCATTACTCTCTCTAGATATATGAATTATATATATATATATTTTTGTGTGGGCTTTTAATTAGGTTCCATTAAATCCATTATCATATGTCTGATTATGTCTGATTAGATCTGATTAGTGTGTTGAGCTTTTAGGTTCCATTATTCCACATCCTGAGAACTTCAACTTGATTCGCTGCCGACGGCCGGGAATTTTGCTCATTCGGCCTCATCGTCAGTGTGCCAGCCGACAGCGTGGGACCCATCCTCATAGAGGTTGACGTTGCAACTGTCCGGCCTAAGTGTATTCCACATCTCCAAATTGCGACGTAGGTTGGAGGCCATCGCTAGTAGGTTGGAGGCATTCCTATATATTAGGCGCCTTTTGCAGTAGGTTGGAGGCCATCGCTCTTAGGTTGGATATAGTCAAAGCGAATCTGGGTATTGGGCCACTCATCTTCATTCTTCTTGCCACAGTAGGGCATGTAGGTTCCTGGCACTGAAAAGTTGCACAGGCCTCGTCCTTGCTTCGGCCGAAAAATTTCTGAAATATCTGAGATGCAAAAGGGCGGGTAAACGACCACCTATGCGACTATGCGAGACCTGCTATGAATTGAGGTGAACGGCACTATATAATAGCAATTAGAGAATGATATGCTGCAGCATGCTGTAGTAGAGAGGCATCAACGGAAACCGCTGACATAAGTCGATCGAAATAGTTTGACCGGCTTTTCTTGCTTGGTCTTTTGACAACTGCGCACGAAGCTTACTGCGGGAGTGTCAAGTGCCTCATGTCATCCTATGATTTACAGGTCATTAGCACGAGCGCACCATCATTGTCACGGGTCGCATGTTTGAGCGATTAAGCAGAAAAGTGAGACTCGAACAACTTCCACTGCGCTATCTCGAACCCAAACATGACTGGGGCTCGGAGTAGGTCAGTCATCCAAGGAGGGAACTCCTGAAATCATTCACCATTAGACGCTGAACTCACTGCGATCAAACCAGACTCAAGAAGATTTCGATACTATGAGCGATATCACTTGGCCTGCGGTGGGATGACGACACCTGCGCGACAACTTCTGCAAAATGCGTCGAATTGTGCAACCAGGTTGTTTAACAGTTGTTGATGGTTTTGTTTTCCTGTTTGCCCTAGCAAAGTGCAGCGACTTCAGAAAAGAATTGAGGTCTGGGAAGCTAGAAGCTGAGATTGATAGTGCCAAGGCGCCACCATATCTGTAGGAACACCTGCACCCAGGTTTCACCTTGCCCGGCCCGGCCGCATGGCACTGGCGATAGTAAGTTAGTTACCAGTTTGGTTGGATCCTCGAGGTCCCGGATGCAGGATCCAACAACAAAGAGAATTGGAGAGTGAAGCGACTTGGCGAACAACTATATAGATAAGTGTTTATACAAATTTATACAATATACTTATAATATATATATATATGGGAGTTGATCTAAATTCCTTTATCCGGGATCCGTCATTTTCGCCAAAAAAAAATTTACTTTCGCCAAACTTTCGCCTTCCTGCGTTTTATCTTTCGCCGAAGTACGTTGTATTTATGTGTGCCATGTATGTTGTGTTTTGTTCACGTCAATGGCTTCTTCTTTACTGGCAAACACAAAATAGAAATTTCACTGTTTGTCAGCATGTGTCTTCTACTTAACTGTTGACACCCTGTACGTCTCTTTTGTTTCTCCTGGGTGTCAGCAAGAGTCAAAAATGCAAGAATCACTGAAGTAGCCGGTCACCGAAACTTATTCATAATGGGCTGGGGGTCAGATGTGGCAGGGTGAACTTTCGCCAATCTTGAGCTGAACTTTCGCCAAACTTTCGCCTTTTGCGGGGTAGAGTTTTGTGGCAAAGCCACCCCCAAAGCAGGAGCAGGAATAGTAGGAATAGTAGTAGTAGCAGTAGTAGTAGTAGTAGTAGTAGTTAGTAGTAGTTAGTAGTAGTTAGTAGTAGTAAGTAGTAGTAAGTAGTAGTAAGTAGTAGTAAGTAGTAGTAAGTAGTAGTAAGTAGTAGTAGTAGTAGTAGTAGTAGTAGTAGTAGTAGTAGTAGTAGTAGTAGTAGTAGTAGTAGTAGTAGTGGTTGAAGTAGTAGTAGTAGTAGTAAGTAGTAAGTAGTAGTAAGTAGTAGTAGTAGTAGTAGTAGTAGTAGTAGTAGTAGTAGTAGTAG